ACAGACGCTTCGCAGCAGCCATCACCACCGCTGGTCACGGAGGAGGAGCTGGCAGCAGCCCTGAGGAAGATGACAGCGAGCAACACCGCCCCTGAATCCCCGGTCGAGCGCTCGCACTGGCGCTGCGAACACTCGAAGGACAGCTGAAACGTCTATTCAACGGATGCCTGATCAGTGGCAGAGTGCCGAACACTCGAAGGACAGCTGAGACGTCTGTTCAACGGATGCCTGATCAGTGACAGAGTGCCGAAGAGTTGGAAGACCGCGAGACTGGTGTTCATCCTCAAGCCGGGGAAATCGCCGGATTCAGCGTCGGCCTACAGACCGATCTGCCTGCTGAACGAGGCGGGGAAGCTGTTCGAGAGAATGGCCATGGTAGATTCTGCCCAACATAGGCGGTCCGGAGGACAGAGTCCGGAGACTTTACACCTCGGTGATAAAGTCGATGGCCCTCTACGATGCACCCGTTTCGTCGCGAGTTCTGGCCGTCAAGTACGCCAACGCCAGGCTGCTGCGACGACTTGCAGCGACGAATGGGTATCCGGATCGTGCGAGGGTATCGCACGATCTCCGAAGAGGCGACGCTGACCTTAACCGGGTCGACCTGCAAGCGAAGGTGGAGGCGCAAATATTTCAACGCGCGCGGGAACTCCGCGAGTGCGTCGGCGGGAACAAGGAGAGGATACTCGCGATGGCGAGACTACGGGCGCAACAGCGCGCACAAAAGTGGAAGGCGGAATTGGAAGAGAAAGACGCCGGCAGCAGAAGAGTCGCGGGCGCCATCCTTGCCAACTGGAACGAGTAGATGAAGCGAGGAGCGGGAAGACTCACCTTCAGGACAACGCAAGTAATCACCGGGCACGGGTGCTTCGGTGAGTATTTGCACAGATTTTTGGCGAAAGAGAATGCCCAGTGTCACCATTGCAACGCGAAGAAAAACTCGGTGCAGCATACACTGGAGGTATGCCCGGTCTTCGAGGCGCAAAGGCGCGCGCTCAGAGCCAGCATCGGACCGAACTTGTCCCCGGCAGTTGTAGTGAAGGCGCTCGCAGCGAGCAAGGAAAAATGGAAGACGGTCACCCTCTTCTGCAAGAAGGTGATGACCACGAAGGAAGATGCAGAACGGGCGCGAGAAAGAAGCAATGCAGCGCGAACAGGGAGACGCAGGGACAGTCCAGTCGTCGTATCAGAGGTGAGACCAACCCCTCCTGAAGACGGAGCAGCGGCCTAACAACGTCAACGGGGAACTAGACTCCCCGAGACCAGGCCGCCGTGGACACAACAGAGTTATTCTCTTAAACTTGTTTCATCTGTAGCCATACAGTTATGATTGTTGCATTAGCATATTGTATTGCGGTCGCACGTGTTGCGAGGTAACGCCGTCTACTCGAAAATCCGGCGTACGCCAAACAAGGAGGACATCGCCAGGTACCTCTCGGGCTCGTTCAAGGGGGAACTGGCGTTGCCATCCTCTAGTCGCGCGTCGTTTTGGTCGCGAGTAAGATCGGCCGCGTTGAAGTCGGCGAATCGATTCGGGTTCCGTTGGCGCTGGGACTCTGCTCGAGGCGAACTTTCACTGGAATGCCAAGCACGCGACGGCCGGAGACTAACCATACTTCCGGCCGCCAAGCCGCAAGTCATTGGCCGACTGAGATTTGCAATCTCTCCAACTACATGTGTAACTGTGCCCTAGGGGCAGCGTTGTCCGCATTTTTCCATTGTATCATACCTCGGGAGTAATGTCCCCGAAGGAAACATTGATTGTGTGAATAAAGTCACATTTGGGTAATGTCCCCGAGGAAAACATTGCTTGCTCTGAATAAAGTCATATTACACTTGTGGTGCATGTGATTTTTATATTATTATTTGCTGCTGTTAATACCTTAAAAATGTGTAGCAGTTTTAAAGAATATGTTTTAAAGAAGATTATAATGGTGAAATACAGGAAACGCACCAATATGTTCCACCGTTATCTGATTCGGAAAATGTAGAAAATCAATAATGGAATAGTTAGATGTAGAAGGAAAAATAAACGGCCAAGAATACTTAATACTTCTACAGACGAGGAGGATTTAAATTCAAATTCGAATTTAGAGAATTTCGATTCGGGTGAAATGCTTTCAACGTTGTCATGGAACGTCACCTTGAAGACCCATAATACATGTATTTAACGATCAAAATTCTGGATTGAAAAGAAATTTAACTCCGGAATCCACACTTTTAGATGCTTTCCAACTTTCCTTTTTCAGAAGAGTTAGTTCCGAACAATTATTTTAAATTTGTGATCGAAAATACTACATCTAAAACGCATTCTCGTATTAATTCTTGGAAAGACATCAATATGTGAGATGTATGGATTTTTGGCCATCATGATGTTAATGCCGCGGGTGAAGAAATTGAGTATTGATCGATAAAAACCAACATTTTTCGAAAAATTATGGGATGAAATAGATACATGGTATTATTGCAAATGTTACATTTTAGTAATAATAATAACGTGATGATCCGTTAATAAAAATACGACCCATAATTGATGTAATCAAGAACTCTTTCTTACAATCATTTTACCCGTACAAAAATTGCATTTGTGCATTGACGAAAGTCTTATGTTGTTCAAAGTTTTATGTTGTTAAAAGAAGCAGATTTGGTATTAAATCATTTATACTCTGCGAATACGTGTATTGCACCACTTACTTTATTAGATTTTAAAATATATACCGGAAAAAAATACAGATATTGTGTGTAATTTTACAACCATTGGACAATCGACAAATGTTGTCATGACACTTTTACGTCCATATTTTGGGAAAGGATATACAGTGATAACAGACAATTGGTACACAAGTCCAAATTTATATAATTTGCTACATAAACATAAAACAAATGCATTTGAAACAGTACGAAAGATAGAAGAGATATGCCCCATATGAGAAATATGAGAAAAGGAAAATTTGATTATCGATGTACAGATAATTTATTGGCATTGAGGTGGCGAGATAAAGATGTGTGGATATTATCGAGTGCTCACAAAGCTAAAATGATAGAAGCTGGTCGAAGAAATTATCTTACAGGATCGCAAAAATTAAAATCAGAATATGTTGCAAATTACAACATTAAAATGGGTTCTGTGGACCGTGTTGATATGGTTTTAAGCACAATTAATTCATCTAGAAAATGTCTAAAATGGTATAAGAAGTTTTTTTTCCATTATTAGACATCGCACTATATAATTCAGTATGTCCTATATCTGAATATTACTGGCAAAAAATTAAAATATAACGATTTCCACCTATCATTAATAAAACAAATTCTGCAAAATAGGAAACAAGCATGGTGGGAAAAGTGTCAGAGTTTATTTGATTAATTATAGAACAAGAATTGGCGATAATGTAAT